GTGAAATGTTTTCGAATAGGGATGAGAACTTTCGTGCGGTAGGACCGTTTCTGATCTCAGTTGGAGGACGGTTTTAAACAGAATAATAATGATTTGCCTCATTCCAAAACAGAATGTGTCATAGAGCTTGGGATTCTCGGCATTTCGTACAATATCGCATCTCACTTGCTACAAAACAGCAAAAATAAAAACGAAAAATATAATATTGCAGAGTATATGTAACCAGGATTGATGATAGCAGTCTTTCCGTATTAGCAGTGACAGTGAAGTAAGGAATGTACAAAACTTGTGAAATAATGATATGAACGTTGATAATAAATATTGTCAGTTAATTGAAATAGCGTGACCATAGATCGCGGAAGGAAGGGCATAAAAGAACCGATTATTTCGTCAATAATATGGTAGGTTGTAGGTTTCATGCCTGATGCCACATCTGTCATATAGAACACGCGCTACATTGTATCTCTTGGAGTTATCGTACTTTGTTGTACAGGTGCATAATCTTTGATAATGACTTCTAGTCTTACGCGAGGAGATGCAAGAGGAAACCTGAGAGTAGGGAGCTCTCTGATAGTCAGACAGTATGGATTCAGACCATTTCCAAAATAAGTTCAGATGTCCGTCGACTACAGTAGTGACCAGCTAACTTAGCGACACACCACCTGCCCTACTGGACACCTTTAATACTCTTCTTTGAGTATACCAGGGAAAACCAGGCGGAAGCAGCCAAGAACAATGAGTAATATGCAAGAGTTAACAAATCGCAAAAGTGGGGTTGGGTGATATCCACGAGATTGTCTTAACCTCCTCGCGCAGAAGGTTAGATGGAACGTTTTCTTAGAATTCGGTAAGATATGTGACGACCAAGGAAGAGCAGAGGCTGAAACTGTTTCAAGGTATTTTACGCCTGATAAAGTTTCTGTTTTATTGCCCTCTATGCTATAAGCACCTTGTGAATGGACCAGTTCGTGTAGACTACGTTTATGCCTAAAGGTGAAGTTGACTGTCTGGCATTTTGAGGGATTTAAAGTAAGACCATTTAGCTAGGTCCCATGGTTGATTTCTGACGGGGGTGGGTATTAAGTTTGCGGCAATCACATGAGGACGTAACTCTTAGCGATGTAGTCAGGTCACCAGCGTATTTTACGAAGTTGATTCCACCCGATAGAGGTAAGTCAAATAAGAATAGAAAGAAAAGGAGACAGAAAAGCACTTTCAGGAACACAAGCTCCAGGAAGCAAGACAGAAGGTTTGCCTTTATATACGGCGTACTGCGTTCTGCTGGAGAAATAAAAATGCAACCAGATAATAGCTCAGGGTTCTGTTTGTGCCAAGGAAAGCTTATTTAAAAAGCGACATATGGATACAGAGTCACAAGCAGATGCGAAGTCAAGACAGGTGCATCGGATTCAAGCTTATTCATTTCTGTTCAATACGGGGTGTCAATCATTATCTGTCTGAACATTCAGTCATTAAGTTTCGTGTGGAAAAGTTATCTAACGGGTAGAGTTTATTGTTTTTTGTATCTGTGTTTAAGGTCTGCTCACTCAAATCGTTAAGTGAATCATTTTTGTTTCCTGCAAGTTCCCTACCCTTTGTGACCTACATGGCGATATATAGACTGAGCCGGTTTGTGACATGAATAGAACGGTATCTTACATTGACGAAATTAGGTCTATATTTTGTGCGGCAACAGAGCACATTGAAAGATGAAGACTGGAGTTTGGGGTTATATTTCATAGGTGAAATAAATGCCAAGTTATTGTGATGGAAACGCGCAGGCCTTTTAGTTATCCGGAAGGTGATTTTTAGGTTAAACCTTAATCTTTTGATCTATAGAGTTTCTAGGTCGGACATGCAACATCTATTATAGTAAAAGATGCAAAGATTTTCACCCACTAATCTTTTAGTAAACGCCATTTGTGGGCTTCCTGCTTCGCACCTGTTTCATATTTACATGCTGTAAATGATAGGAGGACAGAACTTGAGTGACGGTCGTGTGCACGAATTTTACAGAAATTTCAGTATAAAACCCCGAAGAGGCTTTTGACATTCAATGTCTGTATTTTAATATACCGTAAAGCTGAATTCTGGAGAGTATTTCAAGCCTGAATCCGTTGTAAGTGGCAGGTTAGGAGGAATGTGAATATTGTGAATGGGGACAGAAAGCCTTGGCTGAATGTTCTGGGAGAACAATGCTTTACATGTTCCACAGCCAAACTTCATTTTCACTCGTCACACCATAAGTGAACGTCATCGGTATCATAAATTATATCAAACGGGAATGACTCGTTATTCCCGAGTGAACGGTGCACCATTTTGATGTCATCAGTAAACAGAAAGGCTCCGCCATGTTTAATTATATCTCAGATGTTACTAGAATGTAATAGGAATAACAGTAGAATTAGGACACCACTTTGCATAAGCCAAGTTGTTTTATGGGAGGGGCTCGATGCGTGGGAATCTGTCTGGAATATTTGCATACGAGTTTAACAATAAACCACGACTCCCATAAGACAGGGCTTTTGATTTCAACGGCCGGTGACTCATATTGTCAAAGGCCTTACTAAGATCTAGGTATATATCTGCTGTGATCATACCACAACCAACCCTTGAACTGCAAAATGTGACCGAAAAACTGTGGGTGACATGTCGTGCAAGAATGGGAATCTATGGAACCATGCTGATAAAGTGTGACAGGTTCCTCTTGAGACGGTAAGTCAAAACTGGCATTTTTCTCAATCTTCCGCAGAGCCCTTGGAATAAGGGGAGATACGTTTATGGGTCTGTAATCCGGAACACCTGAACGAGCGCCTGACTTATACCTAGAGGTAGTGCGCGCAATTTCACAGACATCTGGGTATAGTCCAGTTGACAGAAAGATGGAGAACATTATAAGAACACATTCTAGTCTAGGCTTAGGATGAAGGAGGTTGACACGTCTCACCTAGCTTTTCTGAAGTACATGACTGTTTTTCTCAAGGTGGAAGGTAGCCTAGCATTGAAGTAGGAGATTACGGTGTTGTGGTCACAACCTTGGAATGGGTGACTGATGACTATGGTCAGTAGGGAGATGTATTTCAAAAAGGAAGGACTTTAGAACGCTATATCCATCCACATTGCATCACTGTATTTTAGAATCTGTAGTAGCTGGAGTGGGAGTATTGGCCGGCTCCTATGAGACTCTCGGTATTTCGAAATCTCCAATGGCTTTCTAGATGAATTTTATTACGAAGTCTAGTGAAAACATGACAGTTTGCTGTGGTGGTTGGGTGGGCGATAGATGTAACATAATAAGGGAGTTTGTTCTTAAGTGGTGCTGAGTGTTATCTATAATGTCCTGCATATATTCAGGTATGATAGAGAAGATTTGTAGCTCAGATGGATGATTTTGATGTGGTTTTGTTCTCTGAGCTGGATGGTTAGTTTGTGAAGCTTTCAGCACCCTACTGGGTGACATCTTCAGCGAATACTTCAATTTGAAGTGAGCTTTTAGATTTCTCCACGAGTTTATTAATCATCTCTCCTGGTGACCTTGGACGTGATTGGTTGTTTATGTGTGTTTTCACATCTTTTAGGTTACTTGTATTGGAACTGACTGTTTCTTTGATTTGAACTTTGACCCTTTGTGTGTGAAGTTTCTTTCTTATTGGTTGATAAATTTTGTCTATCTCGATGTGTCTATTGATTGATGATCCACTGGAATGCCAAGCTTCTAAAAATTCTCTAGCATTCTTGTTGTTTCCTTTGTCTAATATTTGAACGTTGTCCCAGTCGAATTGATGTCCGTGGTTGTCTGTATGTAGTGATATGGGGAGTGAATATCATGTCTTTTGACGGCTAGCTTATGCTCGTGGATACGAAGACGAAAGGGGACGTCCACTTAGGCCAATGTAGTGTTTTTCGCAGTTGTTACAATTTATTTTGTAGATGGTGTTGGTTTTATCTTCTTTCGCTGTTGAGTTACTCAACAGAAACGTCCGGCTGAGGTGACGATAATGGGGCGACCAACCACTTACGTGTCGAGGCTTGCACAGTAGACTATGTAATATAATTGACTTCCCCGTTGTTTTTCGTAGGCGCTATACTGTTTTACCTGACCATGCTTACAGAGTGTAACCATTTTGTATGTGTGTGTGCACGCAACAATTGGTGTGATGGGTTTCAAATTACCAAGGTTTTCATGCACTGGGAAGTAATCCTGTATACATGAGAGCTGTTGAAATCTAACTACCAGATAGTATAAGTGTCTCTGAATTTTGGTAGCTTTTTTATGGTTGAGTTGACCAGGAATCGAACCGTAGAGAATTAAGACTTTCGTGCTTGTCAATTGCAATGATGGTAATAGTTAGTGCCCTGGACCGAGAATATTTAATAAATCAGGGGTCTTTCACTGATCGTTCAACACTTGAATAATCACACAAGAAGCCTACCTATATCATACTTCTAGTGGAACTGAAACTTCGAGGAGCTCATATACGATTAGACGAGGGTATGTTCCAAGTACTCTATATAAAATATGTCAGGCGTCATCTAGAATACTGCATACAAGCAGTGAGTCGATGCTTCAAAAAGGAGGCACATATCCCAGAAAAAGTACAGAGGGTAAGAACCAAGTTAGTCAGTAGTATGTCACACCTTTATGATAAGAGGAAGGAGCGTTCAAATCCCCTGCTATTGTGATACCGAAGGAGGAGAGGCGACTTTATTTCGGCATACTGTATATTAAGGGGTGATCTAGGGATTGAAATTTCAAACCTTTTCTCTCCCTCTAGGATACATTTGCGAGGTCATCACAACGTGTTCAAACCGAAGCCGAAGAAATTACGTGTGGAATTTAGATTCTTTCAGAGGGTGGTCAACGACCGACGACCTGATTCAGTAGTGACAGCTCCACCGATGAACGCTTTCAAAAAACCAGGCCTATTCAGAGATATATATCGCGAGGATTAACATAGGCGACAATAGCCTTATATCTGTATGAATCCCAATTGACCTTGCTCTTGGACACTTCTTGGCGCGCAATTGCTTCTCGGTAGGATGGAGGCAGAAGCGAGCTATGATTTTGTCGCGAATGCCGAAGATGAGCTGGGATTTAAGAAAGGAAGTCTGCTAAAGGTAAGAGTTAGTAAGGACCGTAATTTCGTTGAGAAGTCCTACGTTACGTCAACAGGTTAAGGACAAAATATTTCTGTTTATAATCAATGTCAGAACTGGTTCGTAAATTACACTATTTAGATGATGACATTGAATGTTTTACGTTTCTAAGAACTATGCTTGGTATCATTTTGCAAGTTATCTGTTATGTTCAATTTTCCAGTACATTATGTAGAAGCACCTGATTTCTTGCTAATATTCTTTAAAATTTACTGTGAGGTGGCAAATGTTTCTTAGCTATTTCTAGTGTTGTCCTCCCTTATCGGTGCAGGCGTCTGTGTAAATCCTGTCACTATGTCAAAGCTGACATACTGATAGACCTTTATTTTTATTCAGTAGTTTGCTTGTCAGTATATCTTTGAAATATGGCCTAAATTAACCATGTCTGCCTATCACCTGTGTGTATTATCTATCTGCAACACAAGGGTCATTTCGTGACTTAAGAATAGTGCAAAGAATGATTGACTGTAGAAGTACGAATACTAAGTAATGTTTTGAAAACCGCCAGTCGGCTTGGTTTACAGCAAAAAGTTATCAAGCTTTCATGTATTGGAGACAGTTGTTACGCGCCAGTCTGTTGACTACAGGTTCTTTAGGTACTATGGAATAATTGAGCACATAGTAGGTAGCGAAAAATCCGGACGGAAAAAGCTATCGATGTATGTGCTAACTTCATCGAACCACATCACAATGGACTGTTTCCTTTGCTGTTTTCGCCATGATTAAGGTTGTCAAGAAGTGTGTTCCACTAGATTAATTCACAAAACATTGAATGTCTGCCGTATGAAGCAAGCTAAAAATAGATATACTCAATGTTGCAGTTCTACTTTGCGGTAAACTAGCTCGTGTTCTTCAGAGTATGAAAATTAAACGGATAAAGTAAATAAAAACGAGTCAGGATTACTCTGAGTAACACTAAGCATGCATTACAAACCACTTTTTCGGCTTCCAATTATTTGTTGGTATTCGCAGTCAATAATGTTTCATATCTCACCCTAGAATAGTTTATATAAATTATATCTTATAGTGCCATGAAGTAATTAATTGTTATCTATGCAGATACTATGCGTAGAAGATGATCCGAATTGGTACCTAGCCGAACAAGAAGGAAGAACAGGTCTTATTCCGTGTAATTATATCACAATGCGTCCACATCCTTGGTATGTTCGACACTGTAGTCGTATGGAGGCTGAAGAAAGGCTTCAAGAAATTGATCAAGAGACATCACAGCATTTGCAACCGGATGGGGCTTTTATATTGCGCCAAAGTGAAGCAGATGGCAAAGGATTCAGTCTATCGGTCAAGTGAGTCTTGCTGAATGAAGTTTACTAAGTGCTTCTATTTTTGAATTATCGAGGTTGCTTTGCTTTTTGTTTGTTTATTTGACTAAAATGGAAGAAAAATTCTTTTAAGTTTTAAGCAAGTAGCTCAGAGGAGGTGTATATATCATTATGTTATACTAGGATAGATTAGTGATTGAAACACCAGGATGTAATATTCTCTCGTGAATTGAACCTGCTACTAAGTGAAAATGATCACAATGCTAGTGCGTATTCATGACTATTCAGGCTTTTGTAGAACGTTTACTTCTCATTTTTGTCTCCGACCTAATTATTTTCCTATAATTTTGGTTTGTCTGCCTGTGTTGATAATTCACTTTAAGGCCCTTATGCAAAAACTTCCATAACTTCTTCACAAAACTGAAAGATCTAGTTTTTAGCTGTATCAGTAAATAGCTGAAATCTGTTCCTAATCATCTGGGTCAGCGCCCGTCAGAAGATTTGTTTCTGAAAATAAGAAAAATTAATACCGATCAGTAACCTCAATGGATATCCTTTATAGCGAGATGTAAGCCATATTGGATGAGGCCTTACGACGCTGTGATAGCCTATATCCAAGTAGGTGTAGCAGAGTTCCATCTGCTTGTCACGTACTCAAGCTGATGAGCAGAATATTTTGAATAACACTTAATGACGCTCGAGGTTGTGGAGTGTACGCTTTAGCAGATGCACTGTTCTCGTACTTTCACTCTTAAAGAATAGAGTTTCAACTAACGAAACAAAGGTTACGAAGAAGTTTTGAGTATAAAACGTCATAAGGAGTACGATCTAAACAGTTCACCGCCAAGGGGACTTGAAAAAGTTGATTGGATGTTTCGAAGTCATTACTATGTGTGGAGCTTCAGGGAGATACTATAATTCTACTGAGTTTGTCAAAAATATTAAATGCAATTGAAGTACACAGAAAGCTAGCTAGCATAAAATATATAGTCCATCTTTCAGTCCGTGGGTGCTTTGGTTCTGTTTTTGCTTTCTGTGAAATCCTTGCAGGTGAAACTTCGTAATTTATCAGTGTAGAGAGTCTTCCACTTGTCTGAACATCTCAGCTTGACCGTTCGGTGGATTCTCTCAGAGTGGCAGTAGGTTTTTGCAGGTTCCGATTTTTCACTCATCTAAAGCTTTCCCATCAGTAACATTCAAGATACAGGTCTTTTAGCGATGTGTCATAGTGATACGAACTCGCTACTGGGTCAACGACAAGTGTTTGTCATGTTGTTCCCCTGTGTGTATGTAAACATGACTTGTATCCTAACCTATTTAGTCATAAATCTTTAACTTCCAGTTAGCAAAATTGAGTTGTATTCACAGTTGAGGGGAAACTCGACCTTATTTGATTCAGTCAGGAATTGTTTCTTTTTTTTCGTAATTCATTTCCAGAAATTTATTCTTTTCTTGTAAAATGGGAAATACGCTTTACATAATCATGTATCTGATCATTCCACAAACGTTAAATAATAGTAATAATAATTTGCTTTATTCCAAAACAGTACTTGTGATACAGAATGGAATTCTCAGCATTTTACTACAGTATTGCATCCAGTTAGTACATTAACAATAAATAAAATTCTACATAGATTAAGGAAATCTCAGTTCATTATGACAACAACATATTGGTATGTTGGTAGCAAATCCTAAATTGTTAACAGTTTGTTTGAAGGTGTTAGAAAAGTAGATACTATTTGCATATTTACTGACTTTAGCGGTAACAAAAAGGTCGAGATAAACGGAGTGTGAAAGAACGAATTTGAATGTTTTAGAGAGGGTTTGTAAGGAAGAGAGAAACAAAACAGCACATAACAAAAATTTTTTTTTTAAGAGAAGGAAAAGATAAAAAACGTCCTACCTGTGAATGATATGAGTTGGAAAGACGAGATCCAGTTTTCTACTGACTATTTAATAAGTTATAGGTTTCACGCCTAATGCTTCCTTTATCGTACAGAACACGAGCTAGGTAGGGTATGGTTGAGTTTTTGTGTTCACTACATAGGCTTCTGGTTCTGCCTGATGATATACAAGGGGGGAGTTGTGAATGAAGAGGGTGGTGTGAGTAAGATAGAATGGATTTAGCCCATTTTTCGCATGAGTCCATGTGCCTGTCGAGCAGAATATTAACAAGCTGGTTAAGTGGCACGTTGCTTACCCTGCTGACAACCTTTAACATCCTGCATAATAAGGTATAGTCTTTCTTCAGTAGCCCTGGAAAAACTAAGGGGGAACAATAGAGAATAATAGGCAGAATGGGAGAGTTAACGAATTGTAGGAGTAAGGGTTGGGTTATTCCAGAATGTCTTAACTTCTTGATGTAGAAGGTAAGACGGAATATTTTCTTGGAAATCATCAACATAAGAGACGACCAGGAGAGATCAGCAGATAGAATGGCGCCAAAATATTTAATTTCTGGCTTGGCCTCTATTTCAGTGAAATCTATGTTGCACACCTCGTGAGTGCTAACCAGTTTGTTTAGGTCAGATTTGTGCCTAAAGGTGGAATTGACTGTTTGACATTTAGGGGCATTTAAGGTAAGACGGTTTTCCCTGGACCACTGTCTGATTTCTGATATGAAGCCATTTAGTTTGGAGCGGTCACTTTGACATTTGACAGGCAAAGATACAGTCAGGTCGTCATCATATTTGACAAAATTAACGTCATATGAAGATGGTGAGTCATGTAGAAAGAAAGAAAAGATAAGTAGGGAGAGTACAGCACCTTGGGGGACACCAGCTTCAGTGAGCACAGCAGAGGATTTACCTTTGTATACAATGTACTTCATTCTGTTTGAAAAGCAGGAATGCAATCAGTTTGTGACCCAGGACGCAGTTTGTGTCATCGAGAGCATATTTAGCAAAAGACATCTAGGTACAGAGTCAAAAGCAGAAGTGAAGTCGAGAAACGTGCAACGAACGTATTTGGCACCTTTGTCTAATGATGGGACGATACTGTTGTGTAAGACTGCTGCAGCGTCTAAAACTTTTAAGAGAGGGTTCAAGTTTAAGAAGTGCTAGTTTTTCCATCAGCTTTAGAAACGGGGAAGTAATGGGAATGGATCTGAATTTTACGTTCTTGCTATTTCCAGGTTTAGGGACAGGGACTATTTTAATGTCTTTCCATGCAACAGGTACAACGTTGTTGGAAAAAGTAGCATTTAGGAAGTTAGCAAGTGGAGAACATAAAGCATCTGCACATTGTTTTAGAACATAAGCAGGTCACCATCAGGGCCAAGGCTACGTGAGGGCTTGAGCGTTTTAAGATATTTTAGAACATCATGAATATTAAAGTCATGAAAGTTATCAGCTGCATGATTTGTAACACTAGAAGTAATGATAGTAGAAGGAGAGCGTATAAAAGACTGATTAAGAGCGTTAACATCATAAGAGGGAAAATTGCATCGCTTACTATTGCCAGTAATTTCATTGAAAAGTTTCCACATGTTGATAGGAGATTTGCATGATAAAAGTGTATGGTTATAGATAGCATGGAGATTTTCGGTTTCAGATTTGATTTGAGCATTAATCTTTTTAAGTCCTAACTTATCTTTGGATTTTTATAATGTTTCCTTTTGCCTGCGTAGTTGCTTGAGACGAGGAGACGAGAAACGGTCGAAGCGTCTGAATAGTGTTTGTTTGAGACAGCATATATCGAGGAAGAACTTAAGATAATCCGTTATATTGGTGATTGTGTCATCTAATGTACTTTCATTGAATAAACCCAGTTAGTATCTTTTAACATGCACCTGAGATTGAGTAGGTTGTCAGATATGTGGCATCTTTGTTGTGCTTCCATAGACAGGTTTGAGAAGACTTTAATATGCGTTTTGCTGTATATTTTTGGTAAAATGCGAAAAATACAGTGATCAGAGTTAAGTATCGGTGCACGTGTACATTTTTCAGATATTCCTTCATCGTTTGTGAAAACTAAATCGAGTTTTTTGTCAAGTCAAGTGGGAAATTCGACGATGTTTGTATGACTAAGTGCTTCAAGGAAGGAGCAATCTGAGGAGTTGAAGTCCCCAGTAATAACAGATAGAGAGTTGTCGAAGGCGGCAAACATGGTGAATTCGTCAACAAAATTAGATAGATCTGATAGTGAGCAACTAGGAGTTTGTAACAAAGATTTGTTTATATTTGGGGAGATGTTTGGGACGACATCTGACAGTAATACAGTCTATGAAGTCATTTGAGAATGAGAAGCAAACATTATTTGAAATAGACCATTTGGAGTGAATAAAAGTGTTGCAACTCCACCACCATTTTTCTTATTACAACAGTGACAGGCCTGTCTAAATAATATGAATTCCTTAAGTGAGATAAGGTTGTCATCATACAGTTCATGTAACCACGTTTCTTGTAATGTGATTATCGCAGTATTATGATAAGTGTCAGTGGACATCAAGGATTGTAGGTACATTATCTTGTTAGGCAGAGAGCGGCAGTTTGTGTTCATTATAACAGGGACCGTAGTTAAGTGTATCGATATACGTTTGACAGTTCTCTGCCAACCACTATGATGCTTCCTCCTTGATTTCTTGGGAATAAGAAAGTCATTTGGTCTTAAATGATTAATAAAGTTACGAGAAAATTAAAACAATTAGTCCGTTTGATAAATTTGAATAAGGCATTAAGAAGACAAATTTCGCGAGATGATGTCATTCCGCAGTTTCTTTACAAAGCTGAAACTACGAAATGATATAATCTCGCTAAATTTGTCTTCTTAATGCCTTATTCAAAGTTATGAGAGCAAATGATCCTGTTAGAATTCATATTATGTGATAAATAAATGCGCGTAAACAGTAGATTGGATGCAATGTATATACAGTATAATAGCTGGCCCAAAAATTCGAACAGGCCGCTAGGTCAAAATTTGACATTATGGATGAATGAATGGGCCAGCACACTTCACCCGGTCATTATTAGATTTAAGGTCAACGTAGTTAGACATGTCATCTTCCAAGACTGATAATTTCCCATTTGTCTGGTTGATCCTTTCTATTACATATTATACATTCTGTGTAATCTAACTAATGATCCCTAACTTCGAATACTGTTGTCATTATTTACACGTTTTCTCTCAAATGTTTTGAAGTTTTTGTATTTTTAATATATTTTCTGTGCTTTGAAGTTTCTCTAGCAGTTTGATAGGTCTAGTGGTGTGGGGTTGCTAGCCCCCACGTCCAACCCTCCCTCCTTACCCGGGACTGGGACCGGCTAAAAGACTAGCAAGCTAGTTAACTAGGTATGATTTCCTATTTGGTATAAAGAGAAATTCAAAACTATACATGTATCGAAGTATCAGAACTTTCGAAGTATGTGTGAATCATCATTAAACTGTAAAGTTACTCAGAATTCTGTTATCTTCATAAATAATGCCACTTGACTTAATGCCTAGTTAATTTCTTTCATCTAAGATTATTTCATCCGATTAATACAGTGAATACCGTAGAATCCAATGATTTTACTCTCTACAGTGTGGTAAAACGTGAAAGCAGGTTAGTGTTTCGCTTATTTGGAGTGATTTAGATGTCATATCCGAAATATTATGGGTTCGCTTTGTAATATCCAGTCAGGCAATTGGTCCGGAATTCGACTCCCGACCGGCACACACCTTTGCCTCCTCTAGCAGGTTGTGAGACTGGCAACCTCAAGCTCAAGCTTGAATCCCTGTGTTCCACTGGGAACACAGATAAATAAAATAATTAAATAATCAAATACGATTGAAAGAGGCACGCTAACGTCCTTATAGTGAACCAGAACCCTTTGATCATTAAATGTATTGGAGTGGTGTTTTTATGGTACATTTTAGCTATTTGAATACATTTTGATTGTTTTGTAACCTTCGTTTGTAGAGTGAATAACTAATTGTTGTTAAATTTGTCATTTGTTCCTTCGGTTTCGAGTGGAACAACATAGGCGTTTCAACAGTGCATCTCCATTGTACTCTTGTGGTGAGTGTTACTTATAATCAGATATAAGTAGTATATCAGTAGACGAATTCAGAAAAGCAACAATATGTTTAGGACACTGAAAAAAGCAGTCGAAGAGCAGAACTGTGAGAAGAACACGTTAGAAACACTGTGCAGAATCCAACAAGAAGCTATCGAATGTGATGATATTCGACCAATTTGCAAATGATGTGCAAATAAAGCATTGGCGATATGGTATACCAAATTTATGTACCTGCAATGAGTTTGTCCTAATAAACATTCCTTCGAGCATCATCGGTCTTTTCTTCCGTACACTTTCACTTCCTTTTCACATGATCTGATCTCCTTTGTGTCACCCTCAGACACTCAACTCATCATTTCGTGTTTGGGTTCTACTCGAGGCCAGGTATGTGATGTCACTTGAATTTCTTCTCAGAGTATGTCCGAGCTATCACTTTTTTTGCATATTTGTTGGTTAACAGAATCTTAACTACTGGTTCGTTGTCCTGTAAATATTTTAATGTGAGTGTTAGCCGTCTGGTCTCCAGTATCCAGCTAAGGCACATGCTGACAGAAGTCTGCGTTGGGTGACTCTTCAAGTCTTCGAACCATATAGAAGCATTGATTTGACATTTGGGTCTTTTTGCTGATTGTTCTGTAGACTAAATAATAGTTGGACTAATATGTCTGAATACTGTTTTGCCGGTACACATGATTCCTGAAAATTAATGACTATAATGCATTAAATCTCATTGCTGCATAGACCTGTATATAGGATTGCTATAAATCTTCCTAGGTTTCGTATTATAGCGGGGATCTAACCGAATCTATGTATATACCACCTGCATTTTTGGCAATACAACGGGTACTGTAGATCGGGTGGTAGACAGATCACAGTGTTCCGTTTTTTTTAAACAGATATTCGATTATTGATATAAGACTAGAACTTATGCACTAGTAGAGTATAATTCCATTGTGTGTGAAATTTATTTTGATAAAGTCACGACGTTGTGATGCAGTAACATTTACTGATGACGTTTCGAGCACAATTTATTGCTCATAATCATATCAAGGTACTCACACGACTTCCCAACTTCATTTATATAGTTCCATTATTTTTCACTTGATTTTCACTTGATTTGATTGGCAGTAGTACTTTCCATATTTCAGGTATGAGTGACGAGTCATTCCTATTGCACCTGTTTGGTGTAGACTCGATGAACCAGGTAGGATTCAGTAATCAACCTCTTTCGCTCTCCACCTATCTAGATTACTTTTTAGAATTTGAACCCTCTCCCACCATGCTATTGTGTGGTTGTGTGTTAATGCATGCAGTGCAATTGCTGAGCGTTTTTCTAAATTACTTATCTTCTCGGGGTCAACCATTCTTCCCTTAGCTAAATTCTTATGTTCCGACAATTCGACTACTCCCGATCTACTAGTTTAGCCTATGTAGTTGACCTAACTCACAGTCATTGCAGGGTATTTTGTAAATTATATTATTTTGTCTAATTGGGTCAACTGGGTCCTTTAACCTACGGAGGTTGTCCTACCTGAGTCTGTCTGTCTGTTTTCGACATAGAACTTTGCACAAATGTGCGGAAGTTCAAGTCGCCACATCCTACCTGAGTGAGTTCTTATGTTTAAATGCTGCTGCAATTCCTGCTTTTTTAAGAATCCTACATATGGTCTCAGATGTCCCCTCCTTATATGGTAGAACTGTAGATGCCTTATACTCTCTCTTATTTATGTTACAAATATTAGTTTCCCTGATCTTCATAATGAATTTTATAGGATAGTTATTTGACACCAACGCTTCTTCTCTTTGTTTTACTTCATTATTTAGATCTTTTTCGTACTATTTAGTGCTACTGCTCGATTTGTTAAACACTTAATTAAGCTTGCCTTTATATAAACGCTAGTGTGCAGTTTGCCTTCTTCTATTCGTTTTATTTTGCAATCTGACGCCGTAGCTGATTCTCCTTGTTCATTTTCCGATTGAAATGTAAAGTTTATTCCCTTTACTAGTGAGTTTTGTATGTGTCAAAAAGCTAAAGATATGTTCTGATTTTAACACTGAAAGTGTCCTCCACATATCTCCACCATATTTTTGGAGTAGAATTAAATGTATTAAGAGTAATATTTTCCCAGCTTTCCGTAAAGATAACTCCTGCACTAAGAGACATTGGTGATCCAATTGCTACACCTGTTTGTCTATATATTTTGCCCTGGAATTTAAAAAATAGTAGATGTGAGGTATAAGTGAATTCCTAAAATAATTTCCTCAATAGGCGGTTTCGTCCTATAAATAAGTTCATGATCCGCAGTTAATTCTCTTTTAACTTCTCTTTTACCCGCCAGAGATCAGATTACCTACTGTCTTTTAACGTAGTAATTGTTAGCTCCTGCTAATCTACATCTACCTTTCAATATCCTGTAGAACTTCTTGCATTTTAGTTTTCCAGCCACTCCGTGTACTGTTTCAACCTATAAATAATCGAATTGACTCAGGGTGTCTTTTGAAGTTTATCATATCTGTTCGACTTATTGAAGGTGCGCAGTTGCA